GTAAAACAGTGTTCTAGCAGCAGTTAAAGAAGCTTAGTTTGCTGTCTTAGACTGCCAGTTGTATTAAGATGGTTTGTTCACAATTTACACATAAAACCTAAATGTTCATCTGTTTATTGTTCTTCTTCCTTTATATTCAAAGCATGTTGATTGTCTATTGGCTATATCTTGACATTATGTTAATTTGATCATACTTGTTATACATTTATTTTAATTTATGCGATTCCTTCAAAGGTTTTGTAATAGACCCCTAGTACTTTTAATTTATAAAGTAATAATAATACATGTGAATGATTGAGCTCATTAGTGGCCTGACTGGCCCTCCTAATTTGTTCCTTAATGACCCCATGATGTGATAATGTATATCTTAAAACCTTTAACAACTATATTTAGATGTTCACAAATATCTACATTTATGTATAAAATACATGTGTAGCAGTTAGACAAACATAATCAATAGATCATCTCATTAATACCTATTTTATATATTAAAAAAAAGTTGACTAAACCACCGTTTGTTGACAAAATGATTTGGGTTGAAAGTTATACTGTTGTGTCTCAAACGGATAGACTAGGTTATTAATTTATTTGCCTAATAGTTGCTTAAAATGCTACAATAACATTTGCAATTCGTTTTTAATCTGCCATGTACGATCTCAATAATAAGTGTCGTCAATTCGCTTTTAATCTGCCATGTACGGTAATGTCTCTCAGCCACCGTAGTGTCGTGTCAGGTGGGCGTGTCGTGTAGTGGGCGTGTCGTGTAGTGTCGTGTACTGTCCGTGGCCGCAGCTAGACCATATTGTACTAAGGGCTTCTCGGCAACTCTGCAGAATCCTATGGGTGACGTCACGGACCCTACGTCCATTTCAGCGACGTGCAGTCAGTGGAGGCAGGGGAGGCAGGGGAGGCAGAGCCTCACTTGTCATACTCCAATGTAACGGAAAAACAATTAAAGAAAAACTAAATAATAATAATAATAAAATGTCTCCACTGATCTTGTGTAAATGTGATTTCTGTATGATTCCAATCGCATTTTATAGTCAAAATCAGCAAATTTGCCGAGCTCCGCTACGGGAGCGATGAGAAGTGAGGCAAGCACGAGCACTGCCTCACGTAAGCCCACAGTAACTTGCTGGAGCGCGGGCACTAATTTAGCGGGGCCACTTATTTTGTGAGCGCGCTCAAGCCATTTACTGTGGGGTGACGCATTCTGAGGGGAGGCACCAAGCCCCCAGGAAGTGCGCCGGACTCTGATGAAAATATTCGTGCTGGCCAAACGGCGGTACTACACTTCCTTTTGGTTGCCAGGCCCGGAAACACTTTTTCCCATTGACTTACATGGGGAAAGAGTGGTCTGTAAATCGTTGGATAATTTTTTTTAAACTAAATAAACTACCCAGTATGAACACTTGTATAGCCCTTATTAAAAACATTCGTTCCTCAAGTTGTAAAATGTGCTAATAACGTTATTCTGAGAGTTATTTCCCTCTGCATTATGAACGCGCATCTAACCCACGGGACCGCGCCGCCCGGCACGTTCATGTTACGTGTTCAGCACTACATGAGTTTATCTTTACCCATGGATGCACAATAAGAACGGACCCATATCGCCTTACTGCCAGCCCACGGAGCTGTAATAATGGATATATTGCACATGTTTGCTGTAATTCATCATTTGTAAAATATTATACTACATGGGCTGTATGATTAAATCTTGTACCGTAAATGTTGTATTAAATAAAGTTAATATTACCGACGTAGATTAACGTCCCTGTAGCTTCTTATTGCACTAAGAAGCTTATTGCACTGTGTGTGTATGTGTGTATATATATATATATATATATATATATATATATATATATATATATATATACAGTGCAATAATTATTTCATGCTAAATGAAGCTCTGTTGCTTGGATATCACTAGATCCTGTTACAGCGTAATATAAAAGTACATAACGATTGATGTGTAAATTAGCATAATTACTAGCTAACCGCTAGCTGCTAACTGCAGCCTCGTTAATATCAAATCTATCATAACAAACATTACCATGCTGTCATGAACGTGCGGTGCTGTTACGTGTACGCAAATTGACGTGCTTGATGTGAACGAGCATTTTGGGGGGCATGGTTAAAGTTGCGCATGCGCTATGAGCGCACATACGGGTACTTCTCAGGCATGCCGGGTAATCTGTGACGTTTCGCTCTCTCAAAAGTTGGGCCATTTTATCATCATGCGCGAATGAGCAACTCTCATAGGAATGAATGAGGCCCCGCCTCCCACGCTGTATCCAGTTCTTATTATACATCCATGGGAGGCACAGATGAGCTCTGCCTCAATTCAGAATGTGTCACCCCACAGAAACTGGCTGGAAAGCGGGCCCTAAGCGCATGCCTGTTACCATCTCACTGTAGGTCACCAATGTGATGTTTGTAGATCCCTTTATTACATTTATCCTCGCCATCCATAGTCTCTAAATAACTTATTTCACGTATATATCATATTTAGGCTCGCTGGTCTTATCATACAACGGCAATGAAACAATTACATGGGGAGGCAGCCATAACCTCTGCCGCACTGAAGGGGGCGCACATGAGCCCACAGGTTCTTGTTGCTACCATTCTACCGCAAACAACAAACAAAACTTTTGAAACTACAGGAAGATACGGAGGACTTTTACAAAACAGTAATAGAGATTGTTGTCCAGAAGGATAGCATGGACTTATATTCATCTTCAAGTCAAGGTAAGACCACAACTGTAATTAAAATGGGATCTTACTTAGAAAGAACAATCCAATATTTAGATTTTGGGTATCCTTTTGTTGATCGGTCTGTTTAAAATTAATCATAGCATCAGACTAAAAAAGCTTTTGAAAATAACAGAATATTTCGATTAAGGTCAAAATAGGCTATAATATTTGTAAATCTGACTGAAAGAGTCAGTGCCTCACCAGCCATGAACCTCACCGCACGTCACTGGTCCATTTATATATACAGTCTATGAGTATAACCGGACGCGAGAGAGAGATCAGAGATCAGATCAGCTGCTGCTGACAGAGAACACGCAGCTCTTCCGGATCACAGCACCACCCGATGTGACGGACCGTTTAGCGGAGCAAAATACACTAAGAGTTCGACCTAACACACTTAGCTAGTTTATCTACTCTGGAACTAGCTAAACTAGTTATAAATATGTGTATTCTTTACTGTTGGGCCACTTATTACAGGTTCAGCGAGCTGCACGAGACTGACCGGCTGTCCGGAGACGAGAGAGAGGAAAAGAGAGCACCCCGTTTATTTTTCCCATTTTATTATCCAGAATTACTGTAAACTTTTGAATAAAGTAGTTAATCTACTATTAGTAGTTTGTTTAAATGCATTAATTATGTTTGTTTTTTTCATTAACATAAAATAAATCTCACGTACCCCCTGCAGTACTCCAACGTACCCCTAGGGGTCCGTGTACCCCCATTTGAGAACCACTGGCGTAGGGCACTGAAGAACGATGCTGTTCATACTTTGTTTGGACCAGCGGGATATTCGGGTACACAACCTGTAAGTATTCATTGTTGTTTGTGTATTTATGATGTTTAAAACAAACAAGGTATCTACCACGACTGTTTAAATGGGTAAACGTTTTTCGGGCTACTAAGTTGGGATCGTGGAGAAATGCTCTCCGCAGACCCATTCTCACAGCGTTATAAACCTTTTTCTTACTCAATATCAAGCCACACTTATTGTTTTTACTTCGGCTGTTAGTGTTTGTGTGTGCTCAGGATGAGTTTAGCTTGTTCTCGCTGTATCGCCGACGCGGAAGCCTGTCTGCTCCTCGCAGCAGATCGCAGCAACGAGCCTCTCAACGTCCCGACCAATCAGAGCACACTGGGCTCACAGGGAGGGGGGGCAGGAGCTCCAACAAGCCGTTTAGGACAGAGAGTGAATACCGGTGAATACACATACTTTACAGAGATGCTGTATGAGAAACCAATGTGGGTTTGGAAAATTGCACAGTATAAATCTATTTTACTGTAGTATACCTCAACAATGGAATTATGATCAGTAGAAATGGCCATGACATGGGACCTTTAAGTATTGATATTTTATTGATATTTCCACTTATTTATAAAAAAAAAAAGCATTTTCTGCTCGTTTAAAACACGTATTTATTGTACAGACCCCATGTATGCACCTGTTTTTGGATTGACATTGCTTTGCAAGGACATTATTTGTTATTTCAATTTCAGTCAACAGATGTCAATATTTTACCCTCAGAGAAGAGAATACATGACAAGAAGACAGATTTGTTTGTATAAAAGGTAATGTCACACATTTCCCCATGTAGGCCTATATTGAAAAGCCAAGATAACAAGATAACTTGAAAAGTAAATTATAAGGATTTCTTAAAGGGCATTTACTTCTTTTCTCCACAGGGAGGCGCTGCTCATCAAACTATCAATAGACATTGTAATGTTGATTCAGAGGATCAACATGTGCAGGACAATCTGCTCATGTCAACTAAAACTTCAACATGGGGTAAAATGATCAAATCACACAGTAACACTTAATCACCTCATTGGAAGATGGATACATCAGTAGTTTTCACTTGCAGCACTGTAGGCATTTGGTTTGGTTGTCTAGTAGTTCTACTTTATTGACATCTGAAATACATTTTCAGAAATGAGTGACTTTTTGCTTCAATATAACTTTAACTCCTGTAAGTTGTATGTACAGGTGTACACAGTGAGAGGCAACACACACACACACACACACACACACACACACACACACACACACACACACACACACACACACACACACACACACACACACACACAAACACACAAAGCCTGTCACTTGAAACTACTGTTTGTAGGTATTTTAGTTTCAGCCTTCTCAGTGCAGAATCACATTTCTCTGTTTCACTGTAATATTATGTTCCTCCAGTATAATCAGCCAACGTTTCTGTCTGAGAGTAAAATGAAAGGGACACTTTTTTGAAAACCCTGTTTTATTGAGACTGTACAGCTGCTTTGGTTTATTTCTTTACATACAACTATACAGTACATTACAATACTCCCTTTCCCTTTTTTTTTTTACAACGAAACTCTCATGCACATAGAGTAGATGTTGTTGCAAGATCAAGACATTTTCTGAAAGCTTCAGCATGTATTAAAGGAAATAGCTAAATATTTTTAGGATAAACTCTTATTTTCTTTCATGGTGAGAGTTAGACCCTCATGTCTGTGCACTACCGACATCCGGCGGCTGGTTGGATTAGCTTAGAATAAAGACTTCTTTACTCTTTGTTTTAGAGTTAAATTGTATGGTTGAAAAAGCCAAGCTAGTTGGTTACCGTTGTTTTCATGCTAAGCTAAGCTAAGGTAAGCGAGGAATAAGAAACCCTCCCACCCCCCTAAAAAAAGTGTTAGGGTTAAAAGCCGTTATAAAAGCTACAATAGTAAGTAGACGTGGTAAACAAAATGTGATGGATGAAATGAGGTTAAGGTTGCATTACTGTAAGTCACAGCAGAAGTTTCAGATAAGATTTGGACATCATTATACAGACTATTTAAACATTTATGAGAATCATTTCATTATAAGTAAGAGTTTCTGCCAACAAGAGATCCACTGTATGTAATGAAATATATCATGATGTTGCAAATCACTTTATTTTATTTTAGGTTGAACTCATTAATCAGTCTATTGTGTGGCCTCAACAAGAATGTTGTTTTGAAATTAGATGAACTTTGGGTTCTCCTCTTGCAACACTTTGGCTTATTTTTTGCGCTCCTCAATCTGCTCCACCTCGCTGGACTCATCCACCACTTTGCCATTGATCATGGTCTGGGTGACGACTTTTACAATCTTCCTGGTCCTTATATCAGGTTCTTCTGTGATATGGAAAACAAATCAGGGTTAATCACATAAGTCCCAAAAAGTACATAAAATGTTGTCAAAAAACTTCTTCTGATGGAACAACACTATAAACGGCTATAAAGCAACAAAGAAAACACATGTCAGTAATCTTACTCAGTGCAAAAAAATACAAAAGGGATGAAATAGAAGAGAGAGAGTCAGCGAGTGTGCTTTGTATTCTTATCAGATCCTGCGGGTGTTGAGCGACCACGCCTAAGTCCACATTTCAAGTGTCCTAAATGGATAGTCTGCATGTAGGAAAGGATCGGAAGCTCCTTTATGCTCCTGCAGGATATTGTCTGCTCTAGTAATATCAAATGGTAACGCGTATTAACGTGCAGACAGTAAATACAATGGTAGGCCATCACAGCAGAAAACACGTCCTGCAGGAGTATCAGATCCCTTCCTAAGTTTTGCAGACTGCATTTAACCAACAGGAAGTATGTCCTCTGGTGTGGTCACTTGACACACACAGGATCTGATAGGGGTGAAAATTAGAAGCTAACAAACCCTTTTCTCTTTGTTATCCTTTGTTATTCATACAACAAGCCAACACTGACAAACAAGCTAGTGTTGTTTTTTTAACAAATAACCTTCAGCAAGATTGTAGACCTTATGAAGAAACAGAAGACTTTATTCAAAATTAGCGAAGAGGTTTTTGTCCTTATGACATAAAAAAAAAACTGAACTTACTTTTAGGAGGTGGAGGTGTTTCTTTTACCCTGTAGGCCGAGGGAAAAAACAACGTCATTCAAAAGATAAAGCAGATATCATGTTAACTAACTATCTGATGCAAGTACGACAATTTAAAGTTCCACATTTTGGGAAATATGCAAATTCTCTCTCTTGCTTTGAGAATAAGTGAATGAGTGCACTTTATATCCCAGCAAACTCCACACAATGTACTCCTCTGTAGCTAAATGCAAACATGGGGAAATGACAATGTTTTTAATTGATTTCCTGGATTATAATCAGTGTTATTTTGTAAGTACTGAAAGAATATGTTTACAGTGCATGTCATATACAACAACGACCCATTGCAGCCTAGGACCTTTTGTCTAACCCCTCCCTCTCACTAATCCCCATTTTGAAACTGTCCTCTGTCAAATTCAGGGGAGCATGCCAAACATGTTTTATCTTTATAGAAATAAACATAGGTACGCTAACTGTGTATTTCTGAGCACTGATCCTGCGACCCTCACTCACGTTTCCTCCCCCTCCAGCAGCCTCCTGTACGTAGCGATCTCCATCTCCAGGTTCTGTTTGATGCGCAGCAGCTGCTCGTACTCGGTCTTGTTGCGTTGCATGTCCAAACGCAGCTGAGACAGCTCGTCCTCCAGCTGGGTCAGCGTGGTCTGAAGACGGTCCATCTCCACTGAGTACTTGTGCCCCGTTTCAGCCAGGTTTCCTTCCAACACACTCACCTGTGAACAGAACAAACAGGGAGTGATCAGTGACAGTAGGTAACACGTCGTACTATAACGTTTTTTATACATTACGAAACACTCACTGAAGCAGACTTTATGTATCATCATATATATTAAATAAGCATCCTTTAGCAGTTTAACATCTATAAATTACATCCATATGTTTGATATAGCTCTATAAAACATACATTAACTCTACTTTTAGCTTTGTTTTGGTCTCCACCACCTCCTAGAATCCTTGGCTTTCTGACCTTTTATAGACCAAACAACTAATGGATTGTTCAAGATAATCAACAGAATAATTGACAATTCAAATCATTGTGTGTTTCACTTGTATTTTAAATCATTTCAAAATGTCCCAATGTCCTATGTTGTAGAAATGCATGGATACATTTAATATAAAAAAAATCAACAGGGCACCTTTATCAGATTGTTATGTTATGTTCACATAAGCGTTATCTGTACTATACACGATGTTCCTCTGTGAAGTCCACTAAAGCGCCACCACTGTCACATAATGGACACTTTTACCACCCAGCATCGCCCCCTCACCAATCAACCACACATACTTGAGACTGTCAGCACCGTAATATCTCTGCATTCAATACTGTGTGCTCACTATAAGGCAAACATCAATGAGCTATATTTGACTCCACTGAACCACGCCATATGATAGTTTGACCTGTGTTAACATGTAACGGAGACACAGACAAAACAGGCTTGTTTGAGTCTACGTCTTGTTGTCACTCTGATTGATTATCGGAGCAAAATGAAATAGCGGTGTACATTGTGCTGCTAAAATCTCTTTGTTGACAAGGAGAAGGCAGCTGTAATCTATGGATAATGTGTGTGCAGAAGAGAAGAGGTGAGGATGGGGCTGAACTCCAAAGAAGTAGAGAAATAGTAGCAAAAGATTTGATTCATTTCTGAAAGAGAGACAACATGGGAAGCGTTCTTCCTGGAAAAATATGTGATTACACTTGTTCGAATGTTATGACTACTTTACCTGCCTCCGAATATTGTCAAGTTCGACCTCCAGAGCTTGCAGGAATCGTCGCCTCTCACTGAGCTCGCTTTGGGCACTACGCAGAGCCTCGTTGCTTTCTTTGACCTCTGACTGCACCGCGTCCAACTGTAGACACACACATAAACAAAAGTGTTATGTACAGTACAGAGGTCTATGATATTGCAAATAAACATGTATTACTACCGGAATAATAAGAATAGATTCATGCAGCGACAGACCTTCCTGATGTACCAAGCCTCGGCCTCATCCTTGTTCTTGCGCGCGATGCCCTCATACTGGACCCTCAGCTCAGCCATGATAGCCCCCAGGTCAGGGCCCTGAGGCGCGTCCACCTCCACGCTCACCTGCTCGTTGGCCAGACGAGACTTCACTGTAATCATCTCCTGTGATCATTTAAAGAAAGGAAAAGAAACATTAGTGTTTAATGTTGCAAAATCTTAGTTACTATTTACTCCCTGGACATCTCTTAGGCTGCACTATCTAACTTCAGTGCCTTAACTTAAGTAAAAGTAGTAATACCACTTTATATTACGAGCAAAATGTACTTAGTTTTATGGAAAAAAAGTCATTTGAAATGGTTTATTTTGTTATTGTTTAAATAATCTAGTCCTACAAACCTTATTTTATTAAAACTATTGAAAGAAAATTGTATGTAACTATTGAAAAAAAATTGTCTAAAAAGGAATTAATGTCAATTTAGATAAAAAAACTCTTGTTCTCAGTCAAGTGTTCAGTCTACATCCTGTATACCACACCTTGCCGTCTACACACACCCGACATGTGGCTGGATGGGCTCTAGTGCTCCTGTTTTGTGTACACAGGTGTTGTCTCGAAGCACTATGGTACCAAAGAAAAAGGGTGTGTCCGTACAGGATAATCTTTCAGATACTGGATACTGTTAAACCCTGGGCTACTTTGTTGCTGATATGAAACTGGAATGTGTTACAGCTCTGTGGTTTTAGATTATATTAATCATTTTGAGAGGCTTTCATTTATCTTTTGAGATGCTTTAAAGACATCCGACATTTGTACAAGACGACTCTTGACAACTTGTAAGGTGATTATCTTGATAAGTAAACACTCATTGATCATGTCTGACAGGACCTTCACCTCGGCGGGGATCTCACCTCGTCGTGATTCTTCTTGAGGAAGTAGAGCTCCTCCTTCAGGCTGTCCAGGTCTCCTCTCAGCGTGGCGATCATCTGGTCGTGGTCTGACTTAGCTCTCTTCAGAGCCTGACAGTCCCTCTCTACCGACTGGCAGAGTGTGGCCTCCGCTTCCCATCTGCACCACAAACACAGTGAAGGAAAGGAGCCATTCATGTATTTTTATTACATGACTCATTATAAAACTTAACCCAAGCAAAGACAGCTGCTGGAAGTGAATTTGTCTGCTGCATTCCTGTGGTGCATCAACAAATATCTGTTTCCTTTTATGTTATTGTTCGGTGTTAAAATTCATTCTTGACTTTGGGAAGTGTAATTTGGCAAAAGTCATCTAAAATCAAAGTCCTTACTTACTAGATTCCCCCAACTGGCTTTTAATCATGTCACATAGCCTTCAATGAGCTGAAGAAGATTGTGTGGTGCTCAGAAAAAAGCTAAAAAGTCGACTTTGATATAAGAGTATTTTGTCAAATGATAATATAAATCGTATGGTTATTTTTCATTGTTTTATATGTATTTATATATATTTTTCTTGTGTAACACAAAACGATGATATATATCACTTCATGCTGCCATCTTTTTTGGATTAAAAATAGACTTGCAAATCAAATGTGAATATAAGAGGATTCTTAGATCCAAATGTGCCGGAAAAAACGTTTTAAATGTTTCTCTCAAAAGACAGAGTGCGTTTTTGGAGTAAAACTATTTGGAACATTCCTTTGAGACATGGAAGTCACAAACTGGAGGTAATGCAACACGTGCAAACAATTGATGAGACTTCTCATGAAATCATCCCAGAGTGGATACACACAAGTGAAAATACCATACAAATATCTGCATGGAAGGTAAACATGCTCTTTGCTGCTAAGGCCATCCATCACTGCCAATTCATGTATCGCTCCTGCACATCAGGTCACACAAAATACCATCAACACATTGTGAAAAGCATCAGCAGTGTATCCTGACTCCCCCATCTTTCCTTCAGCTTCACTCTGCCAGCTCTGGACTTCAGAAGCCACGCTGTCTCTCTGACCTGCACGATCCATCACACCCTGTGCTCCTGGATGGAGATCTATGCACATGCCTCAGCAGCGTGGGAATGAAGCTCTTATTTCGCCGCCTTACTTAAAGATCATTTATTCACATGGCTTTGCAGTCTGGCGCTTCTATGTTAACAACTCACAGGCAGGTAAAGAAAGGAAGCTCTGTGTGACACTCACTTGACTCTGAAGTCATCAGCCGCCAGCCGGGCATTATCAATCTCCAGCATGATGCGGGCGTTCTCCAGCGTCTTCTTCCTCACCTGAGCAGGACATGAGTGGATGGTTCAGGAAGATCTGGCATAACTAGAAATGATTCTAATAATGTTTGTGCGCTGTTTTATTTATTGTGCAATCATAAATGGTCTTAACATCCAGATCTCTCTGCCTGCAGATGAAAATAGTTGAACTGATAAATAAAAGGTTGTATCTCATTATTGCCTTCAAACAAACACTTCAAGGGTAACTTTGACTACTACACATGACTACAAATTGTTAGTATTTTGAGTGTGTAAGTATGCCCAAATGTAATATTACTTTCTTGAGGGTTAATGTCAACTTGAAGGAGTGTTCATTTTCAATCAACCTAAAATTAGAGAGTAATATCTCTGCTTAATCAAATAACCCTAAACATATTCCTTGCTTTTGATTTTATATGGTGCATTTACCTAAGCTGGGAGGTTATCTTGAGCCAAGTCTCTCAATAATGCCAACATTTACACATCAAATTATAAAAACATATTTACAAATCCTCATATATGTAAATGTCATATCAATCACCGGGGTGCAATGAAATGCTGCTACAGAGAAATTCTCTGTTTTGGGAGAATATGATCTACAATGACTGACCTCCTGCCCGATAGCATGTGCCTGGGCCATCATCCCGTCGATGTCGTGCCCTTTGGGGGTCCTCTCCAGCATGAGCTGCTTGATCTTGACCTCCAGCTCGGAGTTGGACCTCTCCAGAGAGCGCACCTTCTCCAGGTAGTTGGCCAGCCGGTCGTTCAGGCCTATCATGGTCTCCTTCTCACTGGCTGCGGCACAGAGGCCGTTGAAGGACAGACTGGAGCCCAGCATGTTGAGGCCGTTGCCCATTGAAACGGAGCGGGACAGAGACAGCGTGGCGGAGGACACGGCAGGCTTGGAGCGGATGCTGCGACCGCTGTCCCTCTGGGACATGCTGGAGAAGGAGGGCTGACGCACGGAGTAACTGCGCACAGAGAGGGTGGAGGCCATGGTGTCCACTGCAGCAGATAAGTTAATAAGTGCTCTTATGGTGAAGCTACTTCACTATACAGTGTATGGTTAACAAAATCACTTCACCCATTAGTGGCCTGCTGTTATTCTACAATACTTTTTTTGAGGAAATATGCTTTTGAAGTATTTTGTCTTTTGTAGAAATATTCCATCAGTGTACTTTTATACAGAGTAGTGCTACAAGACATGTATTTCTAAATCATTGGTTATCCTTAAAAAAAAGATATTACAAAAAAGCATTTGAATAATCTTGTGGAATTTTTCTATACGAAAACACTTAATTCCTCCATTGTTATACAGTAAAGTGCTATCAGAATCCCCCATATATTAACAACAATAAGATTTGGTGAATATTTCTTGTATCAAATATTCAATAACTTCACTGTTCTGCCTAACTCCCAGCTTTATCGTTTCTTAGGTTTCTCTTAACAGACTCCCCTTTTTTCCCTTTAAATAACCCTAATTTATTGATTTGTATACATTGTTCTCACCATGTACCATGTTGCATTTAAATTGGATTTAGGAAATAAAGAAATTGCAATTTCTTAGCATGTAAAATGTAAATATGATCCTATGTTAACAGGTAAGATACATAAAGATAATATTAATATATATAAATAATTCGGTTTGGTTTGAGCCGGCTTGATGCTGCTTAACTTAAATCAATTCATTTAATTTTTAAGTATTCCAGTCAGGCTTACTCTTTGCTTTGCTACAAGATGTTCTTTGACTTCCACTGACAAGTCTCACTCAGCACACGTGAGTGAAATTACAAGTTACATGCTAATTTAATAAAGCATCAGGTATTCCCAGGCAGTCTTCTATCCAAGCTCTGACCCAGATCAAGCCTGCTTAGCTTCTGAGACGGGGCAATATCAGGGGGGTTCAGTTTGGTTAGAAGCACTAAGTCAGCATTCACAAATTCTATTTAAAAATGGTACAGCTGCAGATAGAGGAGTAAGTCGTTTGGTTTAGAGAAAGGCGCGCACAGGCTTGTTTTGATAACCACAAGTTGTCTACCTTACTCTGGTTGTTGATAGACATTGTTTTTTAAGAACAATTTGTATATGAGTTATTGATTCCTGACCTTAGAAAATAGCAGTCATAATTGCACAGGAAAGGTCAAGAATGAACTTTCAATCAACCCTTTAACACATTTTAAAATGTATTTTAAAGGATTCTTAATGGGGTTTTTTAGATCTTGGTTTCACGTCTCGCTATAGTAATTTTGCATCAGTCTGTACTCATGCATCTGTCTGTAGTCAATGGATGCCTCTTTGCTGGCATTGGCTTGACTTTCCAAGAAGAAACATCAACAGTCATTTCAGAGAGAGGCTTGTAGGCTGGCTCAGTAATCCAATCGTCTCTCAGGACAGCTACTTAATGGAACTTTTGAATTAACTTGACAATGGTAAAACAAAAAGTGCTCGATACTAAACAGGTTTTCATTTCATGTGACTTTTTAAGTGCACAAAGTAAAAGAGGTATTTATTGGATTCAAGTAATCCCTCCACCTGAGTCAAAATAGCTGTGAACTTTAATGCTTGTATGCTTCTCCGGAGTAACATTTTAAATCTTAATTGCATATTCAGTGACCTAAAGCCATTATGTTATCAATAAAACAAAGAAGAAAAGGACAACATGATACTTACATTGAGCTAAGTTCTTCAGCAGGACTGTTTGCTACTCGGTCAGATTTCCACCCCGATGCTGGCAGTTTAACAGGTGAGTTTGTATGCAGTGGCTCCACTCTCTTTGTTGGGAGGAGCCACTTCTCGTTTGTCCAACCCAACAGCAACAAAGAGGAGGATGCAACTTGACACCTTGCGAAGGAAATAAGCTGTGATGCACATAAACTAGTCAGTGTTAACTAATAAATGAAGTTAATTGTCCAATCTGTATAATTAAATTAATCAACCCAAAGGGCAAATCCAACAAAATATATTGTATTTAGTCATATGATTGAAACCTTATATTGAGCCATTTGATTGAACCCCTGATAAGCTTAATGTAACGAGTATTTTCATTGGCCCATTGTAACGAGCCAATTGATTGGCCAAATGTATTGAGCTATTTTAATGACCCAATGTAAGGAGCTGTTTCATTGTCCAATTTGATTGTTCCCTATGATTAGCCCACTGAAACAAGCCATTTGATTGGCCCATTTGATAGAGCCATTTGAATGGCCCAATGTATTGAGTCATTTGATGGGCCCATTTTTACTGAAATTGTGGCAAGTCTTTTGATTGGCCCATTGTATCAAGCCATTTCATTGGCCCAGTGTATCGAGCGATTTGATTGGCCCAATGAATTGAACCATTTAATTTACCCATGGCATTGAGACATTTATTAAGCCCACTTGAGCGAGTGATTAGATTGGCTCATTATCCTTTTTGGTCTGAAATAAAAATGAAAAATGTGGATAACTAGCTATAAAAGAGCAATGGTTTGACCTTGAGTTGCCATGTGTTATATGCGCTAAATTCGATCAAACAGACTGACTGTTAGAGCCGTATGGCTTTATATTTATACAGTGAGGTAAACCTTCTCAGGCCTCAAAGTGAGCTGTATGAAACTTGGAGAACAAAGTAGTGTAGCTAACAGGGTTGAAAACAGGCACCCTGCTGGCTCCACAGTGAGCCTATTGAGTGCGGACACAATGCACTGAGCGCGCTGTGAGAAGCCAGCCTCACCTGGGGACAGCCCAGCGGGAGTAAACAGGAACAATAGAGGGACAGAACAAAAAGAAAGTGAAGACCCCTGAGAAATTCAGGGCGTAGGTCCAGCTGAGCTGGAAACCTGATTTATATTCACACACAAATACACAGACTGAAGCAACATTTTTTGTACACTTAATACGTCTCACCCGTCTCTCTGTGCGCTCTTGCTGTCATCCCCTGTTACTGTATTGTTAAATTCCTCAGCAAGCATTATTCTCTGTGTAGGATCAGATCTCACATGTGACACTGACCTGGTTTACTGCCTTCAGCCAACTCCACACACCAATACCACACACACACACACACACACACACACACACACACACACATACACACACACACACACACACACACACACACCCACACACACACACACACACACACACACACACACACACACACACACACACGCACACACACACACACACACACACACACACACACACACACACACACACACACACACACACACACACACACACATTCAGAACTGGAAACTGACGACAATAATCTTCAATGTCTTAAGATTTGTTTCACATGATCAAACCTAAATAATTCAAACAAAGTCCCAACAGAAAAGAAGAAATGTCCTGTCTTCTAAAAACTCATGTTAATTGCTAGATTATTGTGCTGGATTGCATATCATCTAATACATACTGGAGGCTACACATCATTACATATATCAGAAACATATATCCTTTTTCAAATAGTGTATATCATCATCACATATTTGTAAAGCCTACCAAGTGTAAAATACAACATGTAGCTCCAATGTTTAACGACAGTATATTAGGATGCAGCGTGGATATACTGCTACCTTGTGGGTAAAAAACACACTACACTTTGTGCAAATGCTGACATGCCAAGAATGTTAGCATTTTGTCTTTTTTTATGATACAAAGTAAAATGTGCATATTGGGCATTTACAGTAAGATTAATAATATACTTAATGTGGAATAGACTCACTCCTTGATCCTTATCCATACTACAGAGTTAGGCGACAATATAATAATAAACAGGCTTTGTGAGATATAGGCTAACACAGATAATTGCATTGGTTTCATTTCCCTTTTTTTTCTGCTTAACAATTTCATACCTGTCCTTGAGAACCTTATGATGGTTAGAGTTATTTTGTATCAGTACAGGACATTATGATTATGAAGGTGTCTTTTTCTAGATTTGTCAATGGACAAAATTAGTAAGTTCTAGTACAACAAGAAGAGTTATTTACATTTAGTGTCGAAAATAAACAGAGGTCGACTATTGTACCTATAGATTATGCTCCTGCTCCACTACATTCATTTGATATCTTCAGATCAAAAATATTTGTATTGCGTTTCGACAATGCGTATCCAGTGTTTGTCATTTAGAAATGGAAAGCAACATATATGCATACAAATGAGACAGTGGTTTGTACTGATTGTGTGTACAAAGAGAAAAATAAATAACGAATAACACAAACAAACAATTACAACAGCTAGAGTAATCCCCTACATTCACTGCCAGTGAGCCTCATACACACGAATACTCACCAGAAATATTGTTAAATGGATACATATGCATGTACATATACATGCAACATACACAGATACACATACATATCTACTGCATACATACCTATACTGCAAATAAGCCATACCAATAGCAGATCGTTTTACAGACTGCGGAATGCATTTGAAAAAGGTTTCATTTGATATCTTAACTAACAAATTCTAAAAAATAAATAATGATGTAAACTGGGTGAGACTTACAACCCCCCTGGCATTAAGCCCCACCTTGTAACATTAAAACATGCATTAATGTCTGCAATGAATTCATATAGCTTAAGGTATTTTGATGTTTATAAAAAAGGTTTTGAATCCAAGACTTTTGACTTGTAACTTAGTTTTGTGGGTATCTAATTACTTATATATTCTTTTTTAGCTAAACAATATTGAAAAGCATCTCTTTTCAGAAGGCTTGACTTCCACTGTGAACATCTGAGAATTGACACATTGTGTAAACTCAATGGTGAGTAATTCCTACAATCCCCATCTTTCAGTGTGCTTTAGCGCCACCATCTGTTTGTAACATGTAGCAAACATGCGTCAGGAGAGTGATTTAAAACCTGCCCCAGCTTCTTATTAAATCAAACTGTAGTGCTGTGATAGTTCAATAGTCGCCCCCCCCCCCCCCCCCCCCAAATACACACATTCTGGGAACCTGCTGTGGAGACCCGTGTTTATTTTTGCATAGTGCACGGTTGGCTGTCAGCCTGGGTGAAGTGAATCATCTGTTTCAGCCATTTCCTAGCGTTTTGAAAACCTTCTCTCTGCTCTCGTGCGCTACTGTACGAGTCAAGAGAAAGTTTCCTTGTTTATTTCTCAGAATTTCTAAAGCACAGAATGTACCGACGCACAGTTGAGAGTAAATGAATTCATTTTGTCTTGTTTTGGGTTTGTTTGGAAACTTGATACTTTTATAGCCAGGGTTTAATTGTAGGCCTGTGAAATAACCACATTGAAACAAAACACCCTGAGCCACAAAGTAAATTCATTGTGGTACTGCTTGCATAAAGAAAGGACATTTCACCTAAAAATGTTGGCCTATGTAGTGTTAACCCTTCCTCTGGTGTTTGTTGACGTGGTTCTGCTCTGAAGCCTCAGATTGTCTAGTTTATAGCAGCAAATGTAGTCACTCTTTTGTCTAAATGGAGCACACATTGCTAGTTTTTCTCGAGTGTCACAGCTGATGGATGACATTACATTTAAATGCAATGTTCTAAGTGATTCCAGAAATAAGCAGCTGTTATTTGAAGAAAACAATATAACATTTATATTGTTGAGAAGAAACCAGAATAGAAGCAAAATTCCAGTCATCTTTAAAACGAATTCAAAATTGAATGTAACATTACCCTACTGATACATGCCTTGAGGTTTTTTCTTATTTTTTCTCCCAATTGTTGATTTTCTGGCTTGATTTTTATTAAAAGGAACTGAAGGCCCTCTCTACTTTCCCTTAAAAGCTTACTTTATAAGGAGAAATTAAAATGCAAAGTTGTGTATTATCTGCATGCATATTTGTTTCCTTTCCCAAGATTATTTAACTCCTAAAATAGGCAAACAGTATGAAGAAAGCCATGCTGTATATATATTTACCTCGACATAGTCAGCTTGGTGATACAGTTAGATATCTTTATTCATATCATGATGAATATTCTGAAAATGTATTACGCAAATTATTTTTAGTATATCATTGAAACTGAGACTTTTTCGTGCTCAGCAGCATTCAGATCGTTTGCATGCCATCATCATATCCTCAAGTGAGGTGGAGGAGAGAGGGGGATGAGAAGACCATGCCAGCATATGGCAGAGTCTGAAGTAAACTTGAGGAGGATGAGGAGGAGGATGCTGATGAAGATGGCTCACATTGCAATCTTTCACAGAGGTTTTGTTGACTGTTGTGCAGGGGAGAGCTCATCAGCGTGAAGGAGAGAAATGTGAATGTGCAGAGACAAGGGGCACTGCAGTGTATCTGCTCATTAGGTGGGAGACGCTGTAATTCAGAGAGCGAGCAGCTCTGCAATCAGGGGTCTATTCATTAGCATGGGGGGCCCGCTTTCATCTGCAACCACTTGAAGCTGTCAATCAACGAGGCGGACGCATGACATGATGACAAAACGGGGCGGCTTAAACGCTCAGGGATGCTTGTGCATGGAGAGAAGACATGCTTAAATGCTGCCTGTGTGCTTGTATCTAAGGGGGACTTTAATGGGGAAGAAATGTGCGTTTTTACAGTGTAGTGCTGGCAGGTGGCCCAAACTGTGTCAGCCTGATAATCATCTCTCCGCTCAGCGTATATACAGCTTTTGTTCTTAGATTTCTCTAAGAGAAGATTGAATTGATTGGAAGTGATTGATTGGAGGAAAAAAAGTTTGGTTTAAAGTTTAGGAAAGATTGAGAGTCCTCTTACGTTAGAGTGATGCTCTCTTTCCTAACGACTTCCATGCAAAGAAACACATACAAAATGATACATGCAGACA